GAACTGTTTCACATGGATCTCTACTGCTGCTAAATTACATCTCGATTCTACCCAGTAAATTTTTCACCTTTGCAGACATAACAAATTATTAACCATGTATTTATTGATCTATCATAAAAACTGTTAATATAATTTTGTTTTCTCAATTTATTATCACTAAGGTAAGCCTCTATGTTAAAAATAAACTGTTGTACAACAAAACGGTCAATAGAGCCAAGTTTATGTACCTTTGTAAACTGTTAAGTTGGTACTTTCAATACACTATATTCTTGTCTAAATTATTCTACAACAAAATTATTACTGGACCCCGTTTTTATATACCTTATTCAATATTTGAATTGGCGATTGTAATATAATTTAGTCTATGTTTGTTTGACATAGTACGAGTACACAAATCCCTTTTAGCTGTCTAAATATTTAAGTAACCATCCAATCATAAATAAATATTTACAAATATTTCACGTAAAAATAAATATTTCATTTAGATACTGTTACGCCGTACGACAAGAAACGTTAATTCTGATCTTGGTTCTTTAATAATAATACTCAATGTGCAGCAGGAGCCAAAACTGAAAGATGGAGAGTGTTCATGGGAAGTGGAGGTTTGCTAGCACACACTTTAGGCTGGGCTTGAATGTGTTTTGACCACCTGCACAGGTGTAATAGAGTTTCCTTTTCTGTGACTGATAAACGTTCCTGAAACACAAAAATTTCTTCTTTCATTAATTTTTTTGTAGAGAAAATGAGAACTTGCTCACTTCAGTTTCCTTTTTTAAATGACTTGCCCTATGATGCAGTAATTATTGTTCGCTCAAGATTTTAAAATCTGTACAAAACAATTTGATAGGGGGCTACTTTCAATAATGGAAAGATATTCTTTGATAGTATTGAAAGTATGCATTATGAAGTCACTAAAGAATGCTCTTTCCACTGTTTAGTGCTTACTATATAGTAGTCTCATTTAATATGATAGGAAATTATTTTTAAAGGTAATGTTTTACTCATAGATATAGAAAAAAAGGGGAGATTTGGTATGGGGGCGTGGTTCGTGTCGCCGCGATATGATCAAAATGATCCTATCGAGGTGACACGCCTATATACATCACCACAGTGACATGGCGATCGTTATACATACAAGATCTCTGGTAAAACGTGAAAATGCCAAGTTGTAGCAATACACATTGTAAAAATTGGAGTGAAAACAGAAATTTTAAAACCAGTGAGATAACATTCCACCGGCTAATTGCATTTTTAGTTACTATTTCTATTATTATTCAATGTTTTCTTTTTGTCTCCGTAGAAATTTCTAGACTCAAATATAGTGATGTTCATTTACGATGACTGATGTACATCGACAATAAATTTTTACTGAAACGTTTGAATTTCTTACTGTGATCTT